TGAACGCGCACCGGGTGAGAATAGCCACAAGACTCGCCTGCACTATTCTCACTCCGGGTGAGAATAGAGGTGGCCTTTGCAAAATCAACTCATTCCTGCCCCCTCGTTCGTCTAGATTTAGTGTCAACCAAGACTGGCAACACTGCCAAAAACATAAATCTAGCACTACGAAATGTGCAATTTCACCTTCTTCAAAAGCAAATCTCAATTGTTTACATCTCTCTCTGCTCTTTCAAAACAAAACAAGATCTAGGGGCCTATAGATCTAGACAGATCTTCTGGCACAGAAAAGCAAATTGAGTATGCTTGTCCAGATTTTTTAATCTTTATCATACTTTATGTTTATGCCATTTAGGATTTTGGGCCTATATCAAGGAGTTTAGAACTGCCTATATCAAGGAGGTTACAGTTTTAAGGTCCTTTGCCTAGACCTATATTAATATATTTTCACAATGGGGGGGGGGGGGTGCTTTTTTTGTTTACGCCTACCCCTCCTATCCATAGAAAAAAACAAAAACAAGTAGGCCAACCTCCTGTGCCTGTGCGCATTCGCAGAATCATGTTAATGAATAAAATCTCAAGACGCACGGTCAGCTTTTACTGTAGTTTTGTTCTGAGTCGCAAATGATGAGTCTTATTACTATATACAATATAAGCGGTAAAAGTTCAATAATTAATTTATTATCATTCCTTTGGCAGGTTTATGGGTAATAGCCTATATTATAGTATGAAACACTACACTGTTGTCTACGGCCATACCACGTTGAACCTACCGGTTCTCGTCCGATCACCGAAGTCAAGCAACGTCGGGCGTGGTTAGTACTTAGATGGGTGACCGCTTGGGAACACCACGTGCTGTAGGCGATTTCTTTTTGTTTCAAATAGTACATTTAAATGGTCACTCATGGACTGTGAACAAGCCCACACACCTCAATGTTTTGTCCAGTCTGTTATTGAGTGATTACATGTTTTGCCTAAATTGTTGCTTTGACCTCAAAAATTTACCCTTCACAATAAAAAAAATTAAACAACAAAAATAAAGTAAAGTAAATAAAAGAATCACCAGAGACATAAAAGTCCAGGCCATGTTTTTTTTGTGTGGTTTTTTTTTTGTAAGTGTTTTACGGCGCTCGCAACTGCACAGGGTCATATGAGCGCGCCGGGCACACTTAATAGTTTTAGTTGGAGGAAATTTTTAATTTTGCCCAGGTGGGGGCCGAAGCCTACTCTTATCGATTTTAGACCACCAAGGGA